CCTGCGCGCGCGCGCGCGCACACACACACACACACACACACACACACACACACACACACACACACACACACACACGGCACCTGCAGAACGCCGGGACTTGCAGCCCGGGAAACCGAGGCCGGGTTGGGGCTCCTCAGTGACCCTTTTGGTCTCTTGTAGCCCTCGGGTAGCACCAAGGCCAGAGCTCGGTGGTCCTGGGAACTTGCCTTGAGGAGGCGTCCAGTCCTGAGAGACAAACCTGGAAAGGGCACACCTCCCAGAGCAGAGCGGCAGCGGCTCTGCGGCTGGAGGCCCCCCCGACAGTGGAAGAGCTGGCTTCCACGGTGTTTTTCCTGCTGACCATGGGAGGCCACACATGTGGGGCTGGTAGGTGGGGTAGAGAGGTTTCAGCCTCTCTTCCCTGGGGCATTCAAACGCTGGAGCAGTTTGTTCAGTCTGAACACATATTATTTTAATAGTGCTAGTTGCCACCATTTACAAATCATAAAATTTAACAAAAACAGCGAGATTCCTGGCTTCTCTTGAAAAACAGGTGTGACAACACCAGACCTACAATTCCAAATTAAATTAATAGAATTGAGGAGCCACCTTCAGATAAGGTAGATGCTTTTAAGACGACCAGCTTGTCCTGATTTAAAACAGAAAGCCTTTCCCCCACCCTCTCAGTCCTGGGCAATGCAAGATGGTTACCTAGGCACTCTCCAGCTGGTGGCAGTCCTCATTGCTCCCAGACTTCTTCACTCGCTTAGGTTACTCACCTAGTCCTTTTTTAGTCTGGGGCTGCTAAAAGACTTTTTAAAAAAAATATGAAAATCATAACCCTCTTAAGGATATAAAAATGAACATGTGTTAAAGATGTTATTTTACTCATAATAAAGGAGTCAGAAGATATTATAATTGATTCAAAACAGGATGCAGAGAGAGGATGGGGAGTTATTGCTTAATGAGTATGAAGTTTCAGTTTGAGAAGATGAAAAATTTCTGGAGATAGATGGTGGTGATAGATGGTTGTACAATAATGTGAATATATTTAATCCCACTTCAGTGTACACTTAAAAGTAATTAAAATGATAGTTTATGTTATGTATATTTTACCATAATTTTTTTTAAAAGAATCTGGAAACATCCTCATGTATAGATGTAGAATATTGAGGCCAAACTGGCTTTTCCGCAGGTTGGGAGGGAGGATATTGAAACTAGCTCCATAGATATATTTTGCATGATTTATCAATCCAACACTTTAAAGAATTGTGGAATAGTTCAGTAGTCAGTTATCCTTTAGACAATGCATAGTTTTCCATTGACACACACTTTTTTATTCTACAGTTTCCCCATTTTGATTTTGAAAAACATATCCGGAAAGATTATCCTTAATCACAAAATAAAGCTGTTCTTATTAGATTTGATCTGATTATTTGCATAGGGACATCAAGAGTGTTAATTATAAGCTTCTTTAAGTTTGCTTTCCTGGAAGTTTTCATAAGGAATCCTAGATTAGACTTTTAAAAGCCCTTACTTACTTATTGTCCTAAGATTAGGAAGCCAAGCCAAGAAACTATGTCCACAGGTTTTGCCTGCTGTACCTATAAATTTGGCAAATTCTTCTCTTCTCAAGGTCCCCCAAATATCCTAAAGTTTCTGGACCAGCCAGGGAGTGACTTTCCTTTTTGCTTGTAAAGCTGAAAACCCAGCAAACCAGTTTTCTTGGGAGGATTTTATTAGTACTAGCACCATACAGTGAACCTTAATTCCTTAAAGAGGGTTGGTTGTATCTGATTAGATGAGCATCTTGCCAAATAGGCCTTGGGTGCATAACAAAATTTTCCAATTATGGACTGGCAAAAAAAGAGGACAGATTCATATTAAACCTAGGCAAATAACCATATTGCCATGAAGAACAAGGAGACGCAACAAGAGTTTCTGAATTCTGAGGAGTCAGGTAGGGAGAAAACGATATTTACAAATGGTTCACTTTGGTATGAAAGCAGAGTCTACTAAACTGTTATGGGTTAATAAGCTTAAGAAGAAAAAGAAAGATCTTCATATATCCAGAAAATAGAACACTATAATCACATTAACAATATTCCAAACATAGAGGACAGTCATCCCGCATCAGTTCATTCAGTCCCGTGTGATTAGTTTTGTTCTGCTGAATCTTGGGTTAGCATTCTCAAAAACCCATCTGCTTCTTGACTGAAGAGTTTTGGAATTTCTGATTTCAGTCTAGTATGTTCTTAAAGTTGTCTGAGTGGTGCCATCAGAAGCCTGTACCCAAGATTAAGTACTCAATACAGTGTTTTTCTGAGACAGTACTTGATTGTTATAGATAAAAATCCTGCCCTGCCAGGCCCAGTGGCATGCTCATAGTCCCAGATACTCGGAAGTTGAGGCAGGAGGATCATTTGAGCCCAGAAGTTCGAGGCTGTAGTCAGCTATGGTTACACCTGAAAATAGCCACTGCACTCCAGCCTGGGCAAAATAGAGAGATTCTGTCTCTTAAAATCCCCCAGAAAACTCTATCTTATAACTGATTGCTGAGCATTTAGAAAGTATCAGAGTAAATAAAAACTATCTGTGACAAAGAATTTAAAAGCGCTGGTTAACTTATTCTTATTCTTATTATTTCTCATTTTTGCCTGTATTTCTTTTAAATTTTAAAGATGTGTGGTACAATTCGGAGTTAGATATACAAATGTTCATTATGCTGGTACCCTTGTTGATGAGATGTGCCCCGCCTTCGCCTGGCAGTTGATAATTTTTAAAAATTAACATAATAAACCGGGCTCGGTGGCTCAGCCTGTAATCCCGCGCCTTTGGGAGGTTGAGGTGAGTGGATTGCCTGAGCCCGCGGGTTCGAGACCCACCTAGGCAGTGAGACCTCATCTCTACAATAAATAAAAAAATCAGCTGGGCGTGGTAGCGCATGCCTGTAATTCTGACTACTCGGAAGGCTGAGGCGGAAGGATCGCCGGAGCCCAGCAAGTTCGAGGCTGCGGTGGCCGGGAGCGGCCACTGCACTCCAGTCTGGGCGACAGAGTGAGACTCCAACTCAAAAAAAAAAAGAATTCGGAAAAAAAAAAAATTATCATAATATAACTGACAAGAAAATTTGGTTGGTTCTCCAAACAAAAAAAAAATCTAGACGATGTCTAAAAACATAACACTAATTTCCAAGAGGACAGTGAACATTACATTAATTTATAAAAATGGGTGAATATAATATTTATAGAGAAAAAAATCTTAAGATGTATCATAGAAATCCTGAGGTATAATTTACATAATACACCGAGACTATCAAGAGATTCAGTAAGTTTATGAAAACCAATGGCCTGGAAGATGCTAGGTTTCAATTAAAGAGGTAAAGTTGCAGCCTGTAATATTTTAAACACTGACGACACTATACTGTTGTCATCAGGCGAAGTGCCACCAGAGTCCTGATAAATAAAAACGTATCATGGACAGAGGACACTGAGAAATCTGTAGAACGTCTCATACAGCATGTGATTTCTGAAATATTTATATAATAACAACATTTTACCTATATAAATTTAACCTAGAAAAGGCTGAGTATCTCTTCTGATGTGACGATTATTTCCACGCAATTGATCAATATTAATATATTAAATAAAGCTAGTTATTTCTTCACCTCTCTTTTTAAAAGACAAAAGAACAAAACTGATTTTCCAGGGGTTTTCTTTTTCAAAATAGTATGAATAAACTCATCAAAACTGAACCAGCTTTGGCAAAATTTTAATACACTTGTTTATTTTTAGACTCATTATTTGCACATACTGAAATCCTAGGAAAATCAAAGCCCCTTTCCCACAAACCTTCCACAAACTTGTCCATTCAGGTTTTGTCCTTCACTGTCCTCTTTCTCATTCTGGAACAACCAGTCATTTTAGTTAGGATAAAACTGCTCTCTTTCTTTCCCATAATAAACAAAAACATGTTTCATTACCATGTATATAAAGTTGTACCTCTCTACCCCAGAGTCTCATTCACATATATTAATCATAACCTTTAACCAAAGTAACTGATATTTCTTTTTTTTGAGTTGGAATCTCACTCCATCTCCCAGGCTGGAGTGCAGTGGCACACTCACGGCCACCCCTCTGGCGATCCTTCCACCTCAGCCTTCTAAGTAGCTGGAACTACAGGTGGGCGCTACCACGCCTGCCTAATTTTTGATTTATTGTAGAGACAAGGTCTTGCCAAGTTGCCCATACTGGTCTCAAACCCACAGGCTCAGGCAATCCACTCACCTCGGCCTCCCAAAGTGCTGGGATTACAGGCTGAGCCACTGAGCCTGGCCTAGTAACTGGTATTTCAGAGAGAATGGGGGGTAGGGGAAGTGGCTATAAATATAAATAATCTGTCACACACAGGAATTTTAGGAGAACTCAGGAATCCATGTAACACTTTCTCAAGTCGTGTCATTTGCACACTTTTCAAAGTGTGAATTCAGTTGCTGTGTTCTCTGACATCTCTGAGATTTAAGACAGACAGAATGAAATTCTTTCACCACTGTGGACCTTTGCTGAGCCTCAGTTTCCTCGTTATCAGGTGGGTTCTTGAAAGTAAATGTGATAATATAAGGAAATATCCTTGACCCCTCGTGGCTGGTGGAAGATACCCAATAGGTATTCTTTTACTTCCTTCCTGATGAATATGGGTTTGGATTCCTGTCAAACACCAAAAGTCATGTAGTTCTATTTCAGGTTATATTATTATGCTGAACTCTGAGGCCTGTAAAGACAATTAAGACAGGTTCTACCCTCTTAGAACTAAGGATAAAGCTGGAGAGAGGGTATGT